TTAAGATCAGATATCCAAACACCGTCACGTTCATGATTTCCTTTGTTTAAACTTAATGAATTATTAATGATTTGAGAAGTTTCTGTTACTTTACGGCTCGATGACCGCGGCCATGTTGATGCCCTTATCTTCCGATGCAAGGCAAATAAAAGCTAAGGATCCCTAAGAAACTCACAACAGTAGCCTCCTACGCAGTTTAGACTTCAGAGATGAACACCAGCGAAGACAGAGGAATTTTGCCATTTTTCAGAAAGTATTCTATCGGATGCTTACAGATAAATTTTCGCGAACCAACTAATCAAATCCGGCATCGAAAGTACATCTCCAAAATAAGGCCTTTTAAAAGTTTTAATTGTTGCGAGCTCTAAAAAAGTCTTTATAGTATTTCTAAAAATTTAAGTCTTGCATTTACTTATCAGCTAAGAAAGCATATCATTTCTGTTCGGGTTGAAAAAACGTTTTACCTCGATTTTTGTCCACTTAACTTTCTTGGCTTATGAGCACTGTAGCACTTTACTAATTCTGCATTGTCTGCATTGCTTATGATTTTGAGCTTGTGCTATTGTCGAAGTGAAAACCAGTCCTAAGACTGAGGACTCGAACGTGACTCTTAGCTACTCTTGTTTAAAAAAGGCATTGCGTTTTAAAAATTCGATTCACAGGATTCAAATTCCTAGTAGCATAATCTTTGAGCCCCAAGACAAAACTTTGCATTTTAGGTCATTTTACGCAGGATTTCAGTGATATTTTGTGCGCATGTGTCGTGGGCTCCTTAGGGCAATAATATGAAATATAAAACATACGAATAGAATAGACCAATTTCGATATACTAAAATTCAGCCTAAAACGATACGCCTCAGCACGAGGCTCCGGGGAATAACTACAGAATTTGTGGGGTTTATTCCCCGGAGCCTCGTGCTGAGGTCTATTTTTTTAGGCTGAATTTTAATATATCGAAATTGGGCTATTCGTTCCCTATTTGAACGGCTTGTCTAAGAATTTCTTTGCTACTTTTATCACTCACAGTACAAAATTTCTTTGAACAATTACACAATTGACCACACAAACAATAAACTGCATTTTTATCACCTTTATTGTCTCACTACTTTTACAATTACCGCTCTTTCGTTCCTGACGTGCTAAGAACGTCAGGTCTACAAGCGAAAACATTACTCAACTACAACGAAAAGTCCTTTTCCATGCTCAAGACGCAACCGAAGGAAAGAACTTTCATTTGCCATATGGGTAGTAGTTGTTGTTGTTGTTCTGGTTGTTGTTGCTGTTGTTGTTGTTGTTGTTACCAATGTTCTGATTGTTTGAGTTGCTATTACCACTGAACTGACGGGTGAAGTCATTTGTCACCTGACGTTGGCCAACATGGGGCAAAGCAAACAGACCTATAACGTACAAAACACCCGGACAAAACAACAAAGAAACTGTAAATTAGTATAGGTAATCGTATGAATGCGAGTGCGATTAGCTGCAATTAAGGATTCACACACTGAATGATATTTAAAAATTGTACGAGCCTTTATAATTAGGCGAATGCAATTTGAAAGAATTTTCAAATATCACGAGGAACAGACGATTATCAAACGTACGAACAAATTAAACACAGTCTTAATTTTGCAGTCCATTGAAAGTGCTCAGCGTAAAGTGGGTATCTACATGTGTATGGTCATGTATATGTACTGGATACGTTATTGAATCATGTAAAACAAAGCAATGGCTAAAAGAAGGTTGATAGCCGAACTAACCAGGGTCTTCGTCATGTTTTTCGTCCTGTCAAAGAAATAAATGAATCATATCAGTCCTTAGTGAAAACGATTTTAATTACGCAAGAACACAGAGGAACGAATGCAATAGGTCGTCTTTCAGACACCTATAGCTGTACAGTGTAACACAGAAACACGCTTACCTGAGGTCGGTTATCGAGAGGGGCTGACGCCACTAAGACCAAAGATATTACGAAGAAAACAAAGCACTTCATAGTCTTTGAGAAATAAATAAAACAAATCAGTATGCTATTTAAATCGGTTGAGTTAAGCTGAGTAGCGCTGACTCATTGTAAAGCGTTTTAAAGCTGATATAAAGCGTTAAGTCACAGGACTGCTTCCAAACGCAAGGAAGAGCTTTTTTTACGCCACATAAAAGTGACGCACTTTGTTTGAGGAATAAGACCCCGCTTATTTGACAGTGTTGTACTTAACCTTGAATAGACCGGATGAGCTTGTTGCCGTCCTGCTGAACAAGGGAGGGACCCCACCCCCCATGCGGAATTGACAGCTGTAAATTTGAAATGTCATATTATTGAAGCTCAAGTTGCAACTGCCATATCTTCCGGTAGTTGTAGAGACTGAAAACAGTGCATGCCCACCTACATTTGTCTGGATTAGGCTTCTTAATATTTACTTAACGAAAACGTTTCGTCCAGGGGGAGAAACTGGAAATTCGTCCTTATGTTAGAAACTTTCAGAAACTAAGACCATTCAGGTTTAATGTCAACACTAACATCAATTCCTAATATCAATTTTAAGGCCAATGTAGCGCGTGAAAATTAGGAT